TTACCCGTAACTTCCTTTTATTCCTTCCACCCTGTCTGCTGAGCAGAGAACTCTAAATGACCTCTGGGCCACATCGATACCCAAGGACCAGCAGGTCACGCGGCCCCAGTCCCTATCTGATGCGGCTGACGCTGTCCTCAGAGGAGCAGGGGACAGACACTTGAGAGGCTTGTTGTTCAAGAGATCCTGTTAACTTTTGTGTTGAGTCATGTGGGTGCACAGAGGTGTCACTGTAGCAGCTTCTCTTTCTTGGCAGTGACCTTGAGACCTGAAATCGGGCCACCAGATGCTCTGGAGGGGACACTGAGAAAACATGCAGTCCATCCTGAGCCCTCAGGCAGAGCAGGCCATCATGCATCCAGTCAACCTCGATTTCTCCAACAAGGACCTTGGGCCAGGCACCATGCAGGGCACTGAGGAGACAAAGCTGAGCCAGACAGACAGGTCCCTTCCCCCAGGAAGTTGTGCTGGGGTGGGGTGGGGTAGGAGGTGTCGGGTATTTTATTAACAGCTTCATTGTGGGTTGTAATAAGTGCTGAGTCCCAGCCAGAGGCGGGCTAAGCTGGAAGAGTCGTGGCCTCTGTCAGTCCCTCAGCGTGGGGTCCAACAGATCTCACTCTTCAAACTGGCTAGTCCTGCCCTCCCCGCCCCCACCCCACTCTTGCCCATGACCAGAAGAATTCCAGGACCAGAGCCTGGTGCCAAACACACTTAATAAATAGGTCTTGATTGCCTGGACATAGACACACACTGCTTTCACAGAATAGTATAAAAATCGAAATCAGCTGCCCGTATTATTGCCATCTTTGGAAAGGGTCCAGGAAGGCACTGCAGATGCAACATTGCTGAGTTTTAAGCCACATGGCATACACACACACACACACACACACACACACACACACACAGTCTTTGAGAGTTTAAAACAGGGCTAAGACTCAGGCCTATCAGTTGTTAACGTTGGACACAGAACCACCTGGGGTTTAACAGAAGCAGAAATCACGCTCAGATTTTTTTCCTCCAGCCTGTCCAGTCGGGCATATGCAAATAATTTGAAAGACAATTTTGGTTTTCAAGCAGATTCAACGCATCCAAGATAACCCCCAAAAGAGAGCGCACTAGAGAGATAGGTTGGCTTCCACCTGCAAGTCTTGGCCCCATCGTGCCCTTTTGTGCCTGCCCTGCTCAGCAGTCCCATGAGCGCCTGCCTGACACAGCTCCCCACCCCGATCCCCTTTGCACAGCTTCCAGACTTTGCAGGAGGTGAGAAATCCTCTGAGATCAACCAGGCTGTGACCCCATTCCCTGCTCTCACTCCTCCAATTGCTCCAAATGAGTATCTGGGTTGTCCCTGAACTTTGACCTCTGTGCACCTTTCTCTATCCATCACGGGTTTGCTGGTGAACACAGAGGGTTTGTGATGATTAATCAGTAAATTGGTATTTATGAAGTGCCAAGGGAATGATGTAGTTTATGAGCTGACTTTATCTCTGCTGGCCTCCCTAATCCCTTCTTGTTTTCCCAGCATCTCAAGCTGGAGGGACCACCCAGTTCCGTCCGGCTCTGGAATGCCCCTCAGAGTTCTCTCCATCTGCCCCCATCACCCAAGAGCTCTTCCCAACCCTTCCTGTGTCTCCCCGTCTTTTTCAAAGTGCTGTTGTTTTTCTTAATATTACCTTACCCCTCCTCAAAAGACAGTTACACAAGTAGATGTGGGAGGAAGAATAGAAGTATAAGTCAACGGTGACTAAGTCTGCCTATAGCTCCCTTGTCGCTGGAGCATCGTCAGAATTGGCCCTCTCTCACCCCTGCCTCTGTAAAAATCCTTTGCCAAGTGTGTGATTTTTCCTGAAGATCATTCTTTCCGCATGACCAAATGCCGTAATGCATAACCAGTCCAGATTGTTTCTTTCTGCCCAAATCCATGCTTGGGACACAGCACTCAGGGTCACTCAGAAGTGATTTCCCCTAATGAACAGGCAACTGATGGTTCCCGGAAGTTTCACCAGAAAATCAGGGATCATCAGTTATCCCGGCCTGCTCTTCCCCCACTGCTTCTCTGGTTTCCGAATAAGTGCTTTTCCTGAAGTCCAATGACCTTAGAAGGAAAGAGTTCAAATAAAATGCAGCCCCTAGCACGCACCTCTGTCTTTGGAGCGGATCAACAAGGCCTCTGAAATGAGGCAGAGCTCTGGGCAGCATGAGCTCCCACTCCATGGTCACAGAGTCTCAGACCTCTCAACCCCTGAGCACCTGTGAGAAAATCAGCCCAAGAGGTGTTAAAAGGGCTCATCCATCTGGCAGCATTTCCTGAGCTAGGCCTCAGCATAACAGCAGCAAGGGCTAGGTGTTCTGCTCCCCTTTTACAAGATGCAATAGGTAATGAACTGGAATTCCCCCAACTGTGCATCACGGAGCCTGCCCTCCCTCCAGAGGGTTGTGTCCACATGAGCCAAATGGGTAATTAACCAGAGCATTTAATACATACAGCCTGTGTGATTAATTCAAACCAAAACCCCAGGTTTTTCACATACATGTAAATTGTTTTTCAAGAAGGCAAACCCTCACCTAATCTCTTCACTGTCAAAAAGTTTGCTCCCAGATACAAAACATTTCATAATAAAGGTAGCCCTGGGAATTCCCTGGCAGTCCAGTGTTAGGGATCCGTGCTTCCACTGCAGGGGGCACGGGTTCAATCCCTGGTGGAGGAACTAAGATCCTGCATGCCTCACGGCGTTTCCAGGAAAAAAAAAAAAAAAATGTAGCCCTATTTCATGCAGACCCGCTATAAACCATAGGTTGGGGCAAGTTGAGGTTCATCAGATTTTTTTTTTTTTTTTTTTTTTTTGCGGTACACGGGCCTCTCACTGCTGTGGCCCCTCCCATTGCGGGGCACAGGCTCCAGACGCGCAGGCTCAGCGGCCATGGCTCACGGGCCCAGTCGCTCCGCGGCATGTGTGGGATCTTCCCGGACCGGGGCACGAACTCGTGTCCCCTGCACCGGCAGGCGAACGCTCAACCTCTGCGCCACCAGGGAAGCCCGCATCAGATTTTTTTAAGTAATTAGCTGCTTTAAAAAGAAAGCTCAGAATTTGCAAACCCAAGCATTTGCAGGCATAATTTTTAAAGTTTTGATCTACACCCTGTCCCTAGTCTTTTGCATTCAATAAAAAAACAACTATTTTGCTTCTGTTGGGTCCTTGAAGGACACATATGGAAGATATAGAAACCTACCTTTTACAAGTAGCTGTACCAAGTTGCCCAAGACCAACAGAAACTTAATTCCAAGCTTTAAAATAACAAAATCGTGTCATTTAAGCTGAACATCTTTATTGGATTCAGAAACAATCTCAAAAATAAGTTAATGTAAATTTCATATTTTCTTGAACCCTGAAGGTTTTTTTTCTCAATTTTATTATTTTTAAAATGCCTTTTAAATTAATTCAGCAATATTCTTAAACTGTGGAAAATCAAAACATATCAGTTGAGGGTTTGTTCTGTGCATATCAGTCTGTAACAGCTTGCTGGTTTTACATTCTCAAGGGCTCTCTGCCTCCAGAGCACTGGTTTTTTAAGCCCTAAGCCCATCTCTTCTCTGCACATTGATGGGTAGGAGCTGCTTTTGCAAAGGGGTCTTGAGCATCACCCTAAGATTCTAGAGCAGCGGTCCCCAACCTTTTTGGCACCAGGGTCCGTTTTCATGGAAGACAATTTTTCCAAGGACGGGAGTGCGGTGTGGGGGGAAGGTTTCGGGATGATTCAAGCGCATTACATTTATTGTGCACTTTATTTCTATCATTATTACATCTGCTCCACCTCAGATCATCAGGCATTAGATCCCCGGGGGTTGGGGACCCCTGTTTTAGAGAATAAGCACAAAGCACAGTAGTGATTCTCAAACTCCCCTGGGTGCCTGCTAAAAATGCAGATTTCTGGGCCCCATTCCAGAGATCAGTTTTGTCGGTCTGGATTGGAGCCTGGGAACCTGAATTATTAACCAGCCCCACTCCTCCCCCGCAGTGGTTCCGCTGCTGGAGGTCCACAGCTTTGCAGTTTTAAGGTGACAGACCAGACCACAGAGAGAAATTCTCTCTGGTCCCTTCCTGACACCCCATCCCTTGAGCCTTTGCAGAGGACATCTCTTCTCTGGGGTCCCCACTGAAATGGCAAATATCAAGATCTCCCTGTCAGCTCCCCTAAAATTAAGTCTCAGACGACCGCGTGGGCCGGCAGCTATCCTGCCAAGTCATTCATGTGATGTGCTGGCCCACGGGGAGAGGGCAAGGCTCTTTTCCCTCTCGCTCTCCCGCTATCTCCGAGGACCTCTCAGGGCTGAGGCCCAGGGCCATATCCCTCGCAGCTGCTGATCCATCCCTCTCCAAAAGACGCAGCAGCTCCACCTGCGGTTACATCTAAACGGGGGCTCCTCCTCACCGGGTACACCGTCTTCATTGCCCCTGCAACCCTCATCGAAAGCGACAGTGTGTAACGTTGAGTCGTCTCCATGGCAACCGACAGGGTGTCACACCGCCATGGGATTACGACTCCACGGCGTGGGGATTCCAGAGAATGGGTTGGGGGCGGCGCCCCCCTGCGCCCCAGACCCACACCCAAACTGCGGGGAAGGACCCCCTCGTCCTTCCCGCCTCGGTCCCCGGCCCCCAGCCCCACCTCTCCCGTTCAGCCGGCACAGTGAGGAGGAGAGGGGGGATGGGTTCTACGGGAGCCCCCCAACCTTACGGGGGAGGATGCTGGCGGGCCCGGCGCCCCGGGTACACTCTAGTCGCGGAGCTCGAGCCGGAGCCCGAGACCGAGCCCGCGCGGGGCGGGCTGCGCAAGGCCGGGAGCCGGGGCGGGAGCGGGCGGGCCCAGCGAGGGGCGTAAGTCCCACCTTCGGGGGCGGTGCCTGGCGCTGGGGAGTGTCAGGAAGAGGAAGAGCGCGGCCAGAGGCGGCGCGGGCGCGCGACTAGCAGGGTCCGGGGGCGAGCGCCGTGCGGGCCACCATGGCCACGGACGAGCTGGCCAGCAAGCTGAGCCGGCGGCTGCAGATGGAGGGCGAGGGCGGCGTCGAGGCCCCGGAGCAGCCCGGGCTGAACGGGGCGGCGGCGGCGGCGGCGGGGGCACCCGACGAGGCGGCCGAGGCGCTGGGCAGCGCGGACGAAGAGCTGAGCGCCAAGCTGCTGCGGCGCGCCGACCTCAACCAGGGCATCGGCGAGCCCCAGTCGCCCAGCCGCCGCATCTTCAACCCCTACACCGAGTTCAAGGAGTTCTCCAGGAAGCAGATCAAGGACATGGAGAAGATGTTCAAGCAGTGAGTGCCCGCCCGACACGGTTCCCCACCCACCCCGAGAGCCGGCCTCGGCTCCCGAGCCCCCGAAGCCTGGACCCCGCGCCGTCCCGGGACCCGTGCGGCCAGCCGAGCTCCCCGATCCCTGACACACCAGGGCCGGGGACCTCGGGCCCCTTCCAGATAATCACGAGGCTTCGGGACCTCCTCCCTACCACGCATATGGGTCTGGGGACCCGCGGCCCCTGGCACGCGACCCCTCCTCACCGTGACGCTGCCCCGGATACACCGCACGCGCGCACGCCGAGTGGGGGACCCCGTGGCTCCTTCTAGATAAGCACAGGGGTCTGGAGGGTCCGGTTCTCTGGCCTTGTTAGTGACGCTTCTCCACACGCGCGAGACTGAGGACCCCGTGGCCCCCTTTCCCCCTCCTCAGCTACTTGAATTCCCAACTGCCCCCCCCAAACGCGGGTCTAAAACACACACCCCACCCTCCAGCGCCTCAACAAAGGTGACCATTCCTTTTACTGGGGTCCTTTCATTTACTCTGCTTATCTCAGATCCCTCTCAACGTGGGTTCTGGGCCGAGACCCCTCCCCGGCGTCCCCTCCACTTATTCAGCATCTGCCAGCAAACTGTGTCAAAGACCCTTTGGCCCCTCCCACCTCTACCCTCATCCACTCCGTTAGCCAGGACCCCAGCCCTTGACCCTCAGGTGATCTCCCCAGGGAGGGACCCCTTCCTCCCTGACCCCAACTCGGCAGGTATGTACACACACACACAACCCGCAGCCACGTCCCTGCAGGGCCGAGTCCCCGCCTCCCTCCGCAGACCGTCCCTCCCTCTTGCCCTCGCCACCCCGCTACACCCAGCAGGTTTGCAGTCACTGCCCCCTGTTTTCTGTCAGAAAGGCCCCATCTCTCGTTGCCTCCCTTCCCCCACCACGTGCCCCCTTCCCTCCCCACACAGGGTCCCTGACACCCCACACCTTCCTATCTGACTTGGCTGGTAGCTCTCACCTCTACCTTGACTCCATCCTTAAATTCCATACCCCATGCCCTCAGCAGGTTGGACAGGTCCTTCCAGGCCTCTGGGCTTCCCCCTCCCCCAGCAAAAAAAACTTTAAATCTCTGTGAAATGACTAGAGAGAAAGGCTTCCAGGTCCCCTTCTGGTCCATCACTGCATTCACCCAGTTGGGACTGAGATGGTCAGCCACGCTGCCCCACCCCGAGCAGTGTGGAGGGCCTGGGGCGGGGGTGAAGGTACTCAGCCCCCCTCCCTTTGGTATTCTTCCCTGCCCACCTCCTGTTGCCCATTCCCCCCTGCCTCTGGCCGCTGGAGGGGAAAACAGCCCAGAGGTGTGATCTGGAGTAGATCTGGAAGTGGATCCAAAAGGTAGAACCATCCTGAGGCCAAGTCTCAGGTGAGGGAGTCAGGAGGTCTGGCAGCCCAAGGTCGAGAGGAAGGTGTGCTGACCCCACCTTGGCTGGGGCAGTGTGCTCGAACCGCAAGCAGGAAGCCCGGGGCGGCG